CAGAGGCGCAGCTGAGAGATGATAAATAGGGCGTTACAAATTTGTATTTACTCAACCCTCCCACGACCAGGTTGTGACACAATGTCGATTTAATGTGAGGAGCCCGAGCACGTACACCCAGGCTAGGAACAAAAATTGCCCGATCCCCAGCAACCTTCGGTTGCGCTGGCCTCGATGCGAGCACTGATCACTCTCTAGTGCAGTGAGAGGACGCGGCCTCGGGCAGCTGTTACCCAGGGCTGGGCACCTCTTCGTATAATCTTCCTCAGTTGTGACTGTCCATTAACGGGGTCGCCCAAATTCAGAAACGCAACTGTGAGATGATAAATAAGTGTTACAAATTACTTAGTAATTTACACACGAAAAGCTCAATATCTGTATTATATATCTACTTCTAGGCAATATCACTCTTCAGGTTTAACTAATTTGCATAGTGATTTAAAAAATATTTTATTAATTAACGGTCCTTCATTACTGTTCGAGGATTGTTTTGGTTTTCATATAAAAAATAGTTCGGTTTACGAATATTGTCTTATATAGTGTAAAAAGTGTTTGAAATTTGCATTTTACTTGGCCTTCAACAAGTTGGCAACTATTTGTAAAACTTTCCTTAACTATAACAAGCCAATTTATGAATGAAATGTTCATTTAAAATGTTTGTTTCAAAGATATCAAGTAGTGAATATATCTTACTTTGCGAAGCGATAGCGAGCGGACGAAGCCTGTTAGTTTTTATAAAAGAAAAGAGTGCTGAGCTGCGATTTAATATTAGCTTTCCTATCCAGGGGTTAAGGACAGTTTCCTCACAGATTAAGAGGCACTAGCGATGTGATTCTAAAACAGAATGCAGAGAAGACTGTACAGAACGTGTAAGCATCGAAGTTTTAAAAGTAAGAGGGTAAAAAAGGACACATATGAGGAAAGAGGGCTTGGAATGTTTTCCACACACAAGACATATCGAAGGCAAAACGTATAGTAGGCGGCAGCGTGCTACCTGCGGGACGAGATTATGGGGAGTGGGAAGGATGGTAAAAAGACAAATATTTGTAACAGTTGTAAAGGAGAGGACGTTGTGGACAGCCATGATCGCCCAGGTCCTGGAGAGACAAGTCATACAAGAAGAAACTAAATTATTCAAATAGATGTGACATTAATCTTTTTAGTTTGTTTCTAAATCAATGCATATTTGGAGCTGTAAGTTTTGAACCTCATCCCAAAAACGTTCATTTGAAGTCATGTCCAGGTTTTAAAAACAGACGCAAAAATACGATATAGTTTTTTATTATCATCTTCGAAAACTAGCATTCGTGAAAACTCTCTTATATATATATATATATATATATATATATATATATATATATATATATTTGGGTGGATAGATGTGAGTTTATGACCCTGGGTTTCACGCTTTAGCGATCGTCAGACAAACTCTCTCTCTCTCTCTATATATATATATATATATATATATATATATATATATATATATATATATATATATATATATATAATTCGGATGTCAGTGTTTCACTTTTTCAACTTTTCAAAAGGAAAACAACTCACTTTTCATTTCAAATGAAATAAAATGCAGTTCTCAAATTATAGTACACTATTTACATTATTCGGACTATTGTCCACATCTTTGTTGTCATTTATTACAACGTCTCGGCCGTTATACGCTCCGACCTTCTTCCGGTGGTTTGAAGAAGGCCGGAGCGTACAACGGCCAAAACGTTATAATAAATATCGCGACAAAGATGAGGATAATAGTCCGAATAATGTAAATAGTGTACATAATAACTCATCTCAGAAATATAGACAGATAATCAAATACTGTGTCTGAAAAAAAATTATCTGCGTTTTCAACTTTACTCATAGAGGCCGTAGCCAAATATATATAATTTTGGAACCAGGCCGACTCCGTGAGCAAATTAAAAACAATCAGGATCCGCAATCCTGAGTTTTTACGTGAACTTTTGCGACAATTTTTTTGTACGATAACAGTTTTTATAACTTAGAAATAAATTTGAGAATAATTGAAATTAATTACGAGATCCACTGAAAGTCCCTCAATGAAAAAAAAATATTTGTGCGGAAAGTAAGGACCTACGTACATCAAATTGTCTTTAAATTAAGTGTGGAGGTAGAAGAATTAACGTTGAAGTTTTAAAACGTAAATATTAATACATAACTTAAATGTAGTGATCAATTTTGAGTTCTGTAGTTTGTTGTTGCCTATCGCATCTACTCCTCCCTACCTATTGTGATGACGGCCCAATCAATGCCCCTCCTCAAGAGCTAGCATTAATGCCACCCAACAGGGAGGCTTTTAAAGTAGTGCATATATATATATATATATATATATATATAAAGGAGGCACGGTGGAGTAATCGCAGAGCCGAGTTCGAATTCCAGTCGAATCCATTACATTCACTTGGGAAAGGTATGAATCCTCTTCCTCTCCCTCCAGCTATGGGTAAAATAGCAGGACAGATGGGTTTTATAGACTTGGATGGCAACTGGTCTAGGAGAAGGACAACTCTAAATTCAAAACCTGCGGAGGGTTGTTTGGGAACCTTGTGGTATTCGGTGCACCAGGTCTCTGTATTCGTCCCTTCAAAAAGTGTGGATGGTCCTGCACGAGTCCTTCACCACTTTAATCAAATCTCATGTGCCGGTGTCGGACTGTCGGTTTCCTGGAAACTGATCTGCTTGACCCTCATACGTCGAATCTCGACGGGAGAGTCGATTATTATATATATATATATAAAATCCGTGGGTAAGTAATCCAAGTAAATCCTATTAATATAAAATTTTAAAGCTGATCCACAAAAGAGAGGTCAATATAATTTTTATTATCGAGCATATAAGTGAATTACAATTAATGAGATCCAAACAATTCACCTCATACAGATGATCATTTCATTCATGGGAAAGTAGTTTTTCCCTGGACTTATCAATACAGATACATTTACTAAAAAGGAATAAAATCCCCCGTTTATTCACAGGAAATTTGAAAGGCAAAAGAAGGAAAAAAAAGAAAGAATAAAAGGAAAGAATAAAAGGAGAGGGAGTAAGAATTGGCCTATAATAGAGGAAGGAGTTACATAGATTTAGAGTGGTAAGGGGCCTTAGGTAGTTGTGGTGGAGTCGGGTTCAGATGAACGCGACGGTTGAAAATGAACAGACATAAATGTAACTTACCAACACCCGTGCAAGGAAGAAGAATGAACAAAAAAAAGAACCCCCCCTAAAAAAAAAACAAACAAACAAAAAGCTATAAAACATTTTAGAGAGGAGATTAAAATTATTATAGAATGGGAGTAAGAATGTAAATTAATACTTTTATAAAAATATGTTAATATGAATCCATTCAATACTACATCTTTAACTACATAGTAAAAGTTACAGTAAAAAAAAAAATTAAGTAAATTATTAATATATTAATTTCATTTAAATATAAGCTATCTCATATCAATATAACATTAATAAATTTTCAAATACTAAGTTTATAACTTAAATTACATTACACTAATTATTTAAAAATTCTGTAAAGGATTAAATTTACATTATTCGAACTATTGTCCTCATCTTTGTTGCCATAATTCTCACAATGTTTCGGCCGTTGTACACTTCAGTCTTCTTCAGGTGGTTGGAATGCCGAACTGGACCCTTTATTTCGCTCGCTGGGGGAGACTGTTCTTGTTTCATGTCTAATGGGTGTCAGTTATCAGTTATCTCCTGTTAATTCACCTCTCCAAGTTCTCCACTGCTTACTGAACTCACACTCTTTGGGTCCTGTCACTGGATCTAACTAACGCCTTTATCCACTATGCCATGTGTCCTTGAGGACGTCTATGTATGAATTTCTGGAATTTATAAACTTAATGTCTTCAGCAACCATTTTTAGCAATGGTCATATTGCAATTTTTGCTGTTATCATTGCATTTTTTTTTTTTACCAGAGTTTATATTACAATTTTCGTTGTTATTATTGCTTTTCTCTGGCACTCCTTATTACTGGTTAAATTTAAATTCAATATATATAAAAAATTTAGTATTATAAATACAATTAAATATAGAAGGAAATTCTACATCTCGAAAATAATTTCAAATATGGAAAAAATTTACATATAGGGAAGATGTCACAATAGAAAAAATTCACATATAAAAATATAAATGAAAGCGAGGAGTGCAAGGTTCGATTAATATTATGTTAGTTGAAATTTGTTTCTATGGTGTCACTTGGAGTGTGGGGTTGAAATAATGTTATGGTGGCACTTGGATACCAATTCATTCCTTTTGTTTAGTAGAACATCTTGATTCTTAAATTTAATGATTTTAATTTTCTCCTCCAAACATAAATTACATCTACCCTTAAAGCTATTTGGAATCTGAGCAAAACCTATAAATTCCCAGTAAATTTCGCCCTCAATTCTCAAAATTTTGAAGAGTTTGGTGTTTTTGTTTTGGGTTGAAAAAAGACTGTATATGTTTATAAAGTCTTTTTTCCATTCCCCTGCAGAAATCCCAATATAAACTTGGTGGTGTGGTTTATTTTTTTTTTTTAGGATAAAATTGTGGGCTGATAAATAACATTAGATGCTATACATCTTTCCCTCAGAAGCTTCAAAGAATAAATTCATTCTCATTTTATCATTATCTGGTCATCGTGAATAAGATTTTGCGCCCACTTCTTGATTGGCGGTGTGATAATATGGTACCACTCTTGAAGATTAAATTGTTTTTTACGGCTTATCGACCTTTTGCAGATTATTTAAAACTAGAAAACATTTTTTGATTCCAAGAATTGTTCGGAGATAGGAATGATTTAAAGAGACAAGTCATTAATTAACCCATAGCTGGGGGGGAGGGAAGAAGGGGATTCATGTATTTCCCACGTGTATTTGCGAGTAAGTGAATTCAACGAACCTGACTAGAATTGGAGCTCGGTTCACAGATTTTCAATTTTGAACCGTTATCCATTACATCCACACATTCAAGCTTACAGTACCTGGTATTCCCAAGCGGTCACCCATCTAGGTATTTTCCAGGGTCGACGTTGCTTAACTTCGGTGAGCGTATGAGAATCGTTGTTTCAACGTGATATAGTCTTTTTGAAAATAGAATTAGTTTTCAAAAGAACGTACTTCTCAATTAATTTGTTGCGTACTCCTCTCCGACGAGGCACTATAACAGTAGTTGTTTTATACGCCATGCTGCTTCAGGACGTGGCTGATCATTGCTCTCCACAACGTTCTGTCTTTTGTTGCTCAAAGTAACTTCTGTGTCATAACTGTCTGTTTGTCCTGCCATCGAATCACGCAACACACGTTAAGTAGGTTACTCGCTGGTTTTCCTCCTGTTTCTCTTTCCTTTAGTGTGCCCTTTGAGTGTTATATTCTCCGAACCTTCGTTCTTCATTAGGCATTCTATATGTCTCTTTCTGGTTGTAAAGATTATTTTCCTTGTTATTCCTATTTTCCATGAAACCTTTCTGATTGTTCAGATGTTCTTTCCATGATATTCTTACCATTTATCGGTAGAACCACATCCCCATTACTTCAAAACTCATCTTCGTCGGTGAGAAAATTGTCCAGCGTTCGCTGTCATAGACGAGATTATATATTTCATAGTAATTAGACACTTTTTTTTATGATGAATTTTTTACTAATACTGTTTAATGCACAACATTAGGTTACACAGTGAAGATAGAACTGACTACAGAATAAAAATGACCCACAATACAAACTGAGCCTTGTTCTACGGCAGAGTATTCATTGCATACAGTGGGCTATGATAAGTTTTTAGCCACCCTTCATTACAGTAATTTTAGCTTGTGTAATAACGTCTCTCTTTTTTTTTTTTTGAGACAATACCGTGTTAGTATCAAGCTACACTCATCTCTGAACGATAGTTGACTTATGTCTTGCAATGAAAGATCGTGGAATTAAAGAAATTGGTGTATTTCAACGAGTGCAAATAATAGGATGACATCAGTGTGGTAATCAAATAAAGAAATTACTAAGTTTTTCCAGGTTAATCATCAAACGGTTAATAATATTGTCAAGAAATTTAATGAAGACCATTGTCATGTGGAACAACGTTCAGGAAGACCAAGCATTGTGTTTGAGCGAACGAAAAGGGCGCTGAAGTGGAAAGTCATCAGAAACCGTCGTCGGAGCGTCAAAGATGTCGCCAACAGCATGGAAATGTTGCCATATGCGGCGAGAAAGAATCTGAAAGAGTTAGGCTATCAAAGAAGAGTTGCAAGATAGAAGCCCTTAATTTCAAAGGTTAACAGGAACAGGCGTATGGACTTGGCGAGAGAATTCTAGAGAAAAGATTATGAATTTTGGTATTCTCTATTTTGGTCAGATGAAAGTAAATTCAGCCAATATTCGTATTCGAGACAGGTTTATGCTTGAAGAAATCAGAATGAGACTTGGACCACTGAATGTCTGCAGGCTACCGTGAAACATGAGGGAATTGGGGTAATGGTGTGGGGCGCTGTCCGGTTTGGAGGGAAATCTGAGCTGATTCTTGTTGACGAGCGATTGAATGGTCCAAAATACTGTCAAATATTAGAGAAAGGAGTACTCCCACTATTTGAAACCAATCAGATTGAAAAGAATGTCTAACTTTTTCAAGAAGATGGAGCGCCATATCATACGAGCAAAGTAGAAAAGGCCTTGAAGGAATCAAGTCACTGCCATGGATAGCCCAAAATCCTGGCATGAATAAAACAGAGCACGTTTGGGAGAACCTTGACCGAAAAATTCGAGAGCATGCAACTAAGATCACGTAAGTGGCAGCACTTAAGGAAACATTGCAAAATGGAGTGGCAAAATAGGGATCAGACGATTGTTGATAACTTGATCAAATCCATAAAAAATCGAATACAAACACTGAAACTATCAAATGAAGGACCTACTCCATACTAGTTCCAAATTCTGTTTATTTATGTTGAGTTGGGATTACGTAATTAAATTTTGAAATTGGATGTAGTTTATTTCTCCTGCTAAAAACCTTTTCTTAGGCCACTGCATGTTCAATTGAGCTTACTACGATACAAGGTGATATTTGCAACCAACGATCTTTGTGACAGATTTGGACTTTCTTTGAGAACTGAATTCACTTTAGTCTAGAATAAGAGAGGCTAGCTTGTTAACAATTTATAGCAAGACATCCACTATGTCAATATTACTAGCAACAATTATTAATTGTAGAAATAACCGTGAAAATCTCACGGTTTTCCTATTTGAAATTTCAGACGAATCTTAATTCTTAAGTTAATGACTGAATAAGTTAATTGTGAGTCCCACGGCATTAAAATGCACGTGGAAATTCCGCTATTGTTATTGTCCAATATTTAAGCGTAACAACTTATTGTAATAAAAAATAAATATGAATGTAAGGCATTATTTCTTTTAAAAAGTAATAGTGTACAAAGGAAATGTATTTGAAATTAACATTTTTCCATTGAACTCTTTTTTTTTTAATTTCATTCTCTCACTGAAACTAAACAGCGTCTCTGATATATCTTTTCTCGTGATCAAAACAGAATAGTCTATTATTTATGACGTGCCGATAGGTCGTAACGTTCGTGATAACTAAGGAACAATTAAAATTATGATTTAATTCCTTTATTTGGTAAATGGTAAGTGTAGAGATACAAAAGTCAATTATCTTTCTTTGGTTGAAACAAAGTCACGAGGGTTAAAGCCGGTGAGCCAGTTTATAGAGTGTCGAAGGACAGTTGCTATTTAGCACGACTGGAGGTAAAACATGTCAGCCAATTGATATATAGGCCGCGAAGTAGACGGACGTTACAAACCCAGAGCAATAAGGTGAACAGAGGAACCCACATGGTCACACCAGAAACAAAGGACAGCAACGTTGGGAAATATTACAAGTAATACTCCATCTATTTCTTTTCACACCGCTTGCTGTATACATATGTTATAGTTTCTCTGTGTTGGATAAATTAGTTATATATATATATATATATATATATATATATATATATATATATATCTCGGAATGAAAAGTTCACCAAGAACAATGTATGTTTGTCATTCTTTTTTTTCCAGCCATTCTGTTCCGTATGTGTATTAAGGTCATTCTATATTTCTGAGATGAGGTATTGTAACTATTTACATCATTCGGATATTTATTGTCGTATTCACTGCGTTTCGGCCGTTGTACGACTGGAACTTCTTCAGGTGGTACACATTGGAAATTCAAACCGAAGCCTTTATTTAGTAACATCCAGCAGCAAGTCTTCTAATCGGGTGGTTTTTGAGGAACGTGGAACCACCTCTTAATTGTCAACTCCAACTTGACCCGAGGTAGTAGCACCTGTTAGGGTCCCGGCTATGGGCAAATTGTGAACCACCAAATTGGGGTGAAAGCATGAAAATATTTAAATACATTAGAAAAAAATTACCAACAATACATTTTTTTTCGAAAATAATAACAATTTGCCAAAGCTCAGAAGAAAATAAAATTTCGGCATGAAATGAAACAAAGAGTTGATATGCCGTTAACCAAACCAACCCAGTCCACTGGGGTAGATTGTTTTAATTACATGAGCCATGACTTTTCTGGATATCTTAGTTTCAGTTAATTCCAAGTTTTTGTTCACCTCTATTTTTGTGGACTAAAGGTTCGATTTCCAAAGTATGTCACCTGATGAAAGCCGGTGGCTACCACAGCCGAAACGTCGTGAATGTGGCAGTAAAGACGAGGACAACAATCCTAACGATGTAAGTAGTGTAAATAGTGTATTAAGCTGTTACGATATTATTACGGATATAATAATACTTATAATGGCAAAACGGTGACTGGGATTATTCTCTCTTGCTTAGCACTCCCCCCCACCATTAATAATCTTCTTTGATAGAATTCGTCGTCGTATGCGGATTTCTTTATTAATATAAGATTTATTGGTTCTTATAGACATAAGTAAAGGCATTTTGATTTAAAAGCGTCAGTGTTAAATATAAAAAAATGAAAGTAATTACGTTGACTAATCAAAGACAGTCTTATTCAGGTCAACTTCTGTATGTCAAACCGCTGACAATCTATTTTTTTTAAATGTCTGATTAATTGTAATTCAGATAGAATTAAAAATAAATAACTAATCGGTTGACGTAAATGATTTTAGCATTTTTTTTTTCGACAAATTACTTTATTCGCAGAAACTCTTCATTATTCAGCCAGAATAGTGTCCTTAGTTTTCTTCGAAGTGTGGCACAAGGACAGGTAATTCTAATAATATTTCGATAGTTTAAAATTAATAGAACAGCTGATTAGAGAAGTAATACTACATGTAGTTAAGCAACTGGTCGTCTGAGGATGACCGGTGAATGTTCCTCCCATTCCCGGCTTTATCGGCTGCTTTCAATTGCCTCGTCCACTGCGAGGAAAGTTGGCTCCCTGAGCCGTGCTAGGAAGTTTTTCTCCCCTGAGTCGATCCTCCAGATATACAAATCCACAATTCGCCCTTGCATGGAGTATTGCTGCCATATATGGTCTGGCGCCCCTTCTGTTTGCCTCGGGGTTCTTGATAGGCTCCAGAAGCGGATATGTAATATGGTTGGCCCTACCCTGGCGTCTCGTCTACAGTCACTTTCTCACTGACGCACCGTCGCCTCCCTCTGTCTGTTCTACAAATACTTTCATGGAAATTGCTCCGAGGAACTGCATTCGCTGGTTCCCAAACTTCATGAGTTCAAGCGCCCTACGAGACTGGCATCCCGCTCTCACCCCTTCACTGTCGAAACTCCTAAATGTAGCCGTCTCTTCTACTCTAATAGCTTCATGTCTCGCACCTCTCACCTGTGGAACTCTCTTCCCTTCTCCTGTTTCCCTGAGAGTTATAATCTCCAGCTATTCAAGTGTAATGTCAATCGACATCTCCAGTTGCCTTAATCTATCTACTACCCTCATCCTTTCTTCTATCACTCCTATCTGATCTTCCTATTTTCTGTAACCCCTTGCGTCCTAGTGGCTCCCCGCCTTGCTTGGGGTGAATTACTTAAAAAAAAAAAAAAAATATTTACAACTTTCGGAGAGGCATATCATACAGTAATTCAATCGTTCATCTT